CAAGGAGTTTTAATGATGTTTGGGCTAATTTTTTTATTTGTTTTCTTATTTCACAAAGAAAGATTCCTATTTTCTTTACTGCATTCAGCACTAAACTCCTGACCTAGACATAGTGCAGGCTAAGGAAAAAATGTAGAGCCACTAAATACTACTGAGTAACCTCGTGCCTTCAGATCAGTGTGCAATTTTATCTACTTACACCAACCACCTGGAAAAAAACAAATTAAGATCATGAAATTAATGAAGAGGAAAATGAAGTTTAAGGAAATTATGAAAAAACTCTGGAATTTAAATGGGGTTTGGTGACTATGTCACTCACTGTTATTAGCAAATTAAATAGACATATACAACCAGTTTGATTACACAGGCCTGCTAACACTAGCTCTCATGAGTTACTGATTTCTATTTATTGATAGCTTGCTGACATCACTTCTCTGCTGGTATCAAAATTTTGTAGGTAATTAAAATGCACCTTCCCTCCAGTCTGCAAACACCAAAACATGCTAGAGAGATGTGCTTTCAGTGCTTTGCAGTTGCCAGAATTACACAAGAGCTGTAGGATTCACTTGGACTCTAGCATAAACTAACTTATCCCAGTGGAAGACAGACTGCAAACTTTGGCTTTGCTCACAACTGTGGAACATCTGGAGCCAAACAGTTGGTTAGTACATTACAGAGCTAGGAAAAAGTCATGAGATTCACATGTGTTTCAAGATCCAAATTCCACTGTAACACTGGCATCTGAAAAATTGGACTTGTCAGTTGAGATTGTCTCTATTGTATTTTTCTTCTTCAAAGGAGGGAATAATGTATATCCTGTATTTAGGATATACAACCTTGTTTTTTGCTTTGCCTCTAACAGCATGGAGGGACTAAAAACCTGCAAGACTTAACCAGCTGGATATTCTTTTGACCAGGAGAAAAAGCTAGTTGACATCAAGGTGTTGAATCTGGCATCTAAACCACCTACCTCTGAATATTTGGGGCAGTACTGGGGACAGAGCTGGCCCAGCAGCAGAAATTTCTACTTGGCTATTATCCATGAGTAATCATTCCTGGGGGTCAGGAGTCAATCTGAATAGATAAACCTTTAGAAACAGGGAGATGAAATCAAGTCCCTTTCTGACTTACTTAATCTGGCATCAGTAAGAAGCACATCCAAAAATCCAGCTTGAAAGCTTCACTAGCACTCCAAGCTTCAAAGCTGTGCAATAGTTTTAAGAAAAGAAAAACATTTAGAATATGCTAATTGCATCACATCTCTGTAAGGTTCTGTAAAATCTGATTCACCAAGAACTCTGAGGTCCAAACAAGAGCTCTTAATCTGTTTAGGCTTTCATTGCAAACTTTCTTCCCCCCACAGAAACCCCTACCATGTCCTCTAACATCATTCTTTTACTTAATTATTTTATTTTCTATAGATACTGATGTGACATAATGCTTTGATTTGATTTTCCTTTGCGTCTGACCTCACTATTACATTTATACCCATGTGCAGTTTGTAACTATGACTGACAATGCCAGTTCTCTTTCCTATTAAAAATAATTAGGCCTGCGGTAGTCAAGATGATTAATATTATAGCAGAAGAATGTGAAACACAATAGAAGTCTATCAGAGGAGAAAAACTCTTTTTTTCCCCACCTTTCTTCTTTCTACCAGAGTATTATGAAGCATCCACCTCAGAATATTCTGTGATTCAGAAGAATTAACAAATCTTTACTTGTATTTCAGAGCTTTTTTACTTTTTTTCACTTGGGAATGAAATAGAAAGTTAAGAGTAAAATTTCAAAAGCTCCTCAGAGTACATATGTGCAATATGGACACATGGACTTGCTAAACCAACATCTACCTGCACTGACCTAGATAGGTGGTTACTAGTTCCAGGGTAAACTCAATTTGCAGGAAATTTGACTATCTACAGGGTTTTCTCTTGCAGGGTAGTGAAATGCTCTGAGAAGTGGAGATATGTCTGAATTCTGAAATATTGCATTTAGGAGCCCAAGGGCATGTCTAAAATAGCTTTTGAGTTTATTATTAGCATTTCATTTTTACAGATGACATAGAAGAAGAGGGAATAGGTTGCAAGAAAATTCTCTTCTTCAGCAGGCTCCATGATTGGATTTACAGAGGCAGTACAGCTGCCTACAGGTGCAGAGAGGTGTCTGGAGGAAATTCCAAAAACTCCTCAGTGAGCAACGTGCCTAATCTCAGTGAGCTCTGAAAAGAGTGAAATTCCAGATCTGTTCAAAAGCTTTTCCAACACCAGGAAAGAACTTCTTTGCAATGCTAGACATCTAGTTATCTCTACAAGATGCCCCCAATTAGCAGCAAAAGGAAAAGGGATGAAGCGTTTTGCATTTTAATAAATATGTTCTGCTTCTGGACTCGAGTTACTCTGGCCAGGTAATCTCCTGTCTCAGTAAGACACCACACAATAGCAAACAAGGTGAGTGGCAGGCTCCTTGGAAGGATTATTTATTTACATGGTGACACGGTGTGTGTCTTCCCTCAGTGATGCCACCAATCCTTTGGTTAATTTCCTTAACTCCTTCCCTATCACCAGCATCCCCTGAGGGAGACAGGATGATGTTCTCTGATGTGTTGGCAGTTCCTCTGAAAGACAGAGCTTTTAGTGAGGTGGTGTAAGGCAAATGGAGCTGCTGCCTATCACACAAACTATCACTGCAGATACTTTTCCCCGTGAATGTTATGTACTAGAGAACACTGAGAAAATTATACTTACTAACAGAAATGAAAAGAGCCTAATTACAGTGATTTTTATAGAGAGAGTTAAAGGATGCGTGTCACAAGGGACTGATATATAATTATGATAATATCAGTTACAACTCCTGTGCTAATTACTTGAAATGGGTGGCATTGTGCAATTTTTTTTGAATGTGAGCTACTATGACAACAAAATGATAAAATCTTATTATGAAATTACAATAAAATTGGAAGAAAAATAAAATTAATATACTGGTAGGACTAATAGCCAAAGAGGCAGCACTAAATGTGCTGGAAAGACAGAACAAACAGAAACCAGCCAACTGTCTCCAACCCCAAATCTGTGCTACGCATTTGACTCACACTGTGTCAGAAATTGAGATGCTGAACATGTTGCCTACACTGGCAGTCAAAATCAAGACATATTTACTTAACGAGAAAAGAGTTGTAAGAAGTGGAGGAAGAAAGGAGTAAAAAGAGGAAATATGAAAACATTGTAAAAGAGCATAAACCTAGCAAGCTCAGTGATGAACTCTTCTGGAGCTTTGAGCGTTTCCATGCCTTGGCTTTGTTCTGGATCCCCTGAGGTACCCCAAACACCCAGCCTGCTGAGCTTGCTGGACCCTGTAAGGTTCAGGCACTCAGACATCTTCAAGGGATGAGGTTTTTCTATTTTGGTTTCACACTGATAAATCTGTCCACAATACTTGATATAAATGAAATATTGAAGTTATCACTTAAATTTAGTATACATTTTGTTCACCATGGATGTATTTAAATTATACAGAACCACACCTTCTTGACAAATGACCTGGGCACTGAGAAGCTCTGATTTTTTTTCATTCATTAGAAGTGAAAATAGTAGCACATTCATATGCAAGCCCATAGATCTGCTCCTAATTATGGTGTAGCCTAGAAAAATCAACCATTGTTTGAACAGTGACATCAGCAGGTTGTAGGTTAATAGTGGTTTCCAGATTTTGGTTGGCCATCATGAGGAAACATGAAAAGTTTCATGGATTTTCATGGATACTGCATTGCCATAAGTCTAGCAGTGGAAAATAAGACTGAATAAAATGTTTAATATTATTCTATTGACTATCTGGAGGTCATTTATCTCATGAACTGCAGTTTGGATCACTTTCTTAAGCTTTCAACATCTCATTAAATAGCAAAGACAATCTCATTTATTAGCAGAATTTACATCTCTTTTCTAAAATTTTAAAACAGCACAAGTAGAGTGGCAGTTGGCTAGATCCCCTCATTTGCTGCAAGTTTGGTAACTACACTTCTCTCTGTGCTGCAATCTGTTCCCATGAGATGCTACAGAGGGAATGGATCTGACCTAACTTCCTCTGCCTTTTAAAATTCCATATTATAATCTAATCCTACCCCTTTTGCTATGAGAACAAAACCATGAAATACTTTTCTAACATATTGAGTGTTTTCACTGCTAAACTCTTCCTTAAAGTGCATGTTTGAAACTCTTCCTCTGAGCTGTTATCTCACAACCACTTGCCACTGGTCTGTAGTGCCCCCTGAAATGGCTGCATGCTGTCTATTCAATAGCAGTGAATAGAGATGATGAGAGCTCTCTGAGCAGGGCCTTCCAAAGCAGTTCTACTGAAGTTCCTCCCTCATCTCAGCAGCTCCCTGGCCTCTGTGGCTGAGATGACTCTGTTTTATGCACCGTTGCTTGATCAAGTCTGAAGTTCACTGACTTGTCTTTGATGCCCAGCCAAATCAATATTTAAATCTCTGCTGAAGATTGACTTTCACTCCTTTTGATAGCATCCATTTTGAAGGTGGAGAAGACAAAGGGAAATCTGAGTTTTTCTACGTGGTCATGATTTTCACTGAAAAACCTGTCTAATTACAAAAAAAGTGAGTTCTAAACAACTTGAGAAAGAGGAATAAATAAATTTTCCAACTTTGCAATAATTTTATATGTCAGTTTTTAAAATTATGATGATTCAGTGTAGGCTATGTTAAAAATCTTATTCAGTTTGTAATGAGCATGGCTGCAGTGGTTAACAGGATTTCCATGCAAGACAGCAAAGGTTTTTTCCACTGAGGAATTCTACATGGTGGGACTGAAGTGTGCAAAAATATGAAAGACTTACCATGAAACCTGCCATCTTACAAAACAGGAAAGATACCAAGTGACACCCAGCAACAAGAAATAAGCCAACAAAATATCCAGCGACCCCACTGCTGCCCTGGCTGGCAGAGCAGCCTCAGATGCATTTCTGGCATTTACCAGAGACTTTCTTACCTTCACTGCAAACTCTGTTTCTGTAGCTTTATGAACACATCTTTTGCACACTGAATAGGAGCCAATTCCTATGTCCTCCTTGATCTCATATCCATCAGTAAAATGAATGTTGTTGCCATGTAACTGCTACAGGGAAAGACAAAATAAACAAGGCAATCAGGACATGGATATGTAAAAGCAAGGACTAGCCTCCCCTTGAAAGAGCAGCTTGATCCCCTCTCATTCTCAGAGCTCTCTTGTCCTTAGCAGCTTCCTAAATCCAGTTAAAAAAATATGAATCTCTTGACTTAATCAAGGAAATGTGTTTCTTCTTTTCTACCTTTTTCCAGTCTGTAAGATGAATTCTCCGTGTAGAAGTAGTGGAAAAACCGCTGGGGTTTTCTAAACTATTTCTGGAATGCAGAAAATCATCCTATATTAGAAATTCATAGGAAACTGTGGGCCAAACCTCCTGACAAATGTTCCTATCTTGACAATATAAACTGATTTCTAATTACTGAGGGGCAGATAACATATAAAATACTAATAGCTTCACAGTGCCCAAGAGAGATACCCCATATATGGGGAGTGCCTCCAGATCAGGAGGTCCTGTCTAGGATATGTTTATCTGTAGTTTCTTTGTGAGAGAGAAGTTCATATTTTAAGCCATTAATTCATATGTTCTTTGGAAAATGTCTGGGCAGATTCAATGGTGAACCCCAACTGAGGCTTTGCTGCAAATTCCATCCAAGGACTCAAGAAACAACCAACACCTCTAAAAATTCTCCAGAATCCTCTGTCTAAAAATGTAGCCTTGCTAGCAAAGTCCACACAGAACCTGATAAATTTTAAGATGTACATATGTCAATATTCAACACATTTTTGCAAAGCAAATCACAGGAATATATATAACATTTCTGGGATGTAATCACTTGGGTAACATTTCACTTACTGTGGCGTCAGAGCATCTTTAAGAGTATGACATATTCCACCATAAATAATTAAAATAGAGATAAAAACCTATAAAAAACACAGGCAGGGTCTCTGTCCTTGAGGTATTTATACCTGTGGCTGTGGGTAGGAGAGGGAGCTTTTTCCTAGTGAGAAAATTGGTTGCACCTTTAAGCAGCCCAGTTCTTTCTCCCTGTTCATTTGTCCTCTGATGTATCAAATCTTTTGTAGAAATTTGTTTCTCGTTTAAAGTACAACTGGATAGGTTTTTTTAGGGGAATGGCAGCAAAGAACCAAGTGTCTGGTACATTTCCCAATCAAGCACCCTGGTTTAGGTGAGTACACCCAGGTTCTTGGACAGCAACAGGAGTTGCTCTGCCTCTTACACCCAGGAGGTTGAGCTCTGTGTCTCTGGGAGCCTATAGCAGTAGCTCGAACCCATTTGCCAGCACAGACTGACTGGATCATATAATCCAAGACAAAACTGTTGAGAATAAAATGCATTCAGTGAAAAAACAGTATTTCATTACCTGCCCTGCATGCACAACTGGAATCCTGTTTCAGGTATTGAGAAGTACTTTTTATTTTAGTTGTGACAAAGTGCAGTTCCTTTTTCCTTTGCCAAGGTGGTGAGGAACATTTTATACATAAAAGACTTCCCAAAAAATTCTCGTTTTCCAACACCTACATGCTGCATGTAAAACACCTCCTTCCTACACTAGGAAGATGTGACATACCAGTGAGAACATTGGGCAGTTTAAATACACACATACATATCTGCACATCAGGTGTGAAATATAACCAGCATCAGTACCTGCACAATTGGGTGAACGGTGATTTTGTGCACATCTTGCTGTGCAGGCTCCTGCACCAAGTTAGAGGCAACAAAGCTGAACCCTCTGAAAAGATGATGAGCATTGGCACTTGGAGGAACACCTGGGGAATCTGTAGGAGAAGGAAAAGAATGGCCTCATGAGCTGCACAAAAGAACAGAAAGGTGTAGCATGGCACCGCAACAGACAAAGTCACCCCTGCTAGTCAATAGCAGATCTGACAAGGGAAATATAATTCTATATACCTCTATATATATACCTCTATATCACAGCTTTGGTGTGCCTTCTCCATCCCTCTCCTCTGGATCTGAACAATGCAGGGGTATTGTTTGCAATATCCTCTTGGATACAGGGATTTTGTTCACAGGCCATCTTCATTCTTAGGCAAAGTACTGCCTGTGCCAAGAGTGCAGAGAGAGAGAGGAGGCACAGGGCAGAGAGGCTCGGTGAGGAGACTCAGGGCAGGGCACCCTGCAGGGCTCAGCAGAGGTTCTCTAGGGAGTGGAAGAAAGCTGCAGGCTGCTCTATCTGTCCTTTGCAGCTACAGAATGGCTTGGCTAGAGAAATTGGCTACAGAAATTACAAAGACTGAAGTGGCACATTGTGTGGGTCAGGACAATACAGAGGATGCATGAAACCAACGTAAAAGCACAATACTACATGGTTTGTGGCCTTATATGAATCTTCTGGAGCTGCTTTAGGAGCTGGGATCTACTCCAGGAAAAACAGTGGCTGACCTATCCTCAGGCAGAAAAAAATTACTAGGATTGTTTTAACTAACCTTCATGTGATTAGGAGATTTTTATTCCCCCAATTCCTTCCCCTGGCATTCCAAAAGGAGGGAAAGAATGGTTAAAGGTCAAAAAAATCCTGGGTTATTCTACCTTTGGAATGAAATAACCAGACAGAAATTCTTTGTACCTGCACCACTGCTCAGTGAGAGAATCAGCATGACAAAGCAAGCAGAGCTGTGTTTCACTTAAAATTCTCAAAAGATTTAAAGAGATCTTTCTTCCCAGTGTATGTTTTATCCAAGATACTTTACTGAGCAAGAAGAATCACTTTGTAAACCATTCCTTGGCAACTGGCTGCATATTATAAAACCTGCATTACTGAAATTTGCTAACCTTTTATTTGGTTTTTTGGGGGGGCTTGTGGGTTGTTTTGGGTTTTTTTTCCCTTTCACATTTCCTCCAATTCACCATGTGATTTACTGACAAAGTCATAGAGCTAAACTTTCTTTAGAAAGCTATTTCCCTATAATAAAGAGTGTAAATACCCAGTTATCTAAAGAAAATAAATCCCCACTGAGCTTTATATCTGACTCACCTGTTTGAGGCCCTGAAAATATGTAAGAATGTGTACTTTTTAGCATGTACACCCCCTTTATAAATCTACTGGTCAAATGGGTAGAGGAGCAAAAGTCAGAACTTGATAAAACCAATATATATCTGCTTGGGAATAAACAAAACTGACAATGCAGCTAATTCTATTTCTCATCACAAAGCTGCCTCAGCTTTCACAGGAGTCAGAAGTCAGTATGTTCTTATTGGACAGCAAGCAGAGTTCAGATGGAGAAGATTGTCTTTTGGTAAAATGATGTGGGTTTTTTGTTTATCTCAGTGTTTTTGATGGACATTCACTCTCCTTGCATGGATGAAATATGTGGATGAATCACACCAGACCTCTTGCATCACTGGATATTTCCTACCCTGGCTATATATCTATAACAGTGATTTTTACTTGAGGGATTAATTAAGAGAAAAAAAAATGTTTGTTTTTAAAAATGGAATGACAATAATACATTTCTGAACCACAGAAAAGCTGTGATCCAGCTCTGAAACTAAAGCAGTAGGTCAGCTCTATTTAAAAATAACTGTTCCTTCATAATTCACTGCCAATCGCTTCAGCAAATACTGCAGATGAACTATTGATGATTTGGTGTTCGCCATTAAATATTCATCACCAACAACTGATTTGCCCATTAAAACATTTTTGCTAAGTGCAAAATTATGCATAAATCATGTCAATTAACTGATAGTTCAGAAACCTAAATCATTTTTCTGGGCCTTATAAATCAGAATAATTTCATAGATCTGAATCAGATCCGCTTACAAGCACCCATCATGTATCATGGTTATCTTTCTTTCTGTGAAAAAGTAATAATTCTTTGTTCCACTAGAGTATCTAAGTTTAAGGGTTTTCAAAGGCTTCATGACTCTTAAGAAATTTCCTTCATTAAGTTTCACTGGGGTTAGCAAACATCTTATTTGCACAGGAGGATATTTAGATACTTCAGGTGAAATTTTAACTACTTTTTTCTCAGCAGTAAAGACAGCCTAAAACATCCCTGCTGGTTACCGCCTGCTGTCCCATCAATTACAGCAGTACAAACATTTGTGGACTGAAATCTAAGTTGGGTCATAAGAATGATCTTGGTTTGATCCTTATTCAAATCATCATTTCTAGCCTAGATTGCTTCACTCTGGCTCCCTGGAAGGACCTGAGTCACCACAAATGAGATGTGGGTCCACAGTGGTGAATTTAGGAAGCAAATGGCCAGAAAAAGCAACTCCAACTTGGACAGATCTCTGAGAAAAAGTGATGTGAAACTATACCCACATAAATGATCTGTCAGCATCAGAAACCACATCTTTGGCACACTTAGATCTGAAGTCAAGAATCCACAGAATGTGGTTTCAGCCTCCAGGGTAAAGGAAGTTTCTGAGGTACAGCAAATCACTGCACTGACAAGATTTACTGGATCCAAAACTTTGACATAAACTTGCTTTCAGACAGGAGAACTCATTCATAAAGACAGTGTAAAATTACTATATGTTTCTGTATCTCCTTGGTAGTGACTAACAGCTTTATTAAAACACAACTGCATGATCATGAAGCTGGAATTATTACAGTGCTTTCGATCTGAGGATATTCTCAGTAACAGGGTTAGTTTGTTTGGGGTCTATGCCCTGATAGAAAAGCCACAAAATAAAAAGTATTATTGCTCTATTCCATCAGCAATGTGAGCCAGTATTAAACACATTTGTGATACTCTCCCCAGTTTGTTTGATCCAACCAGTCAACAGTCAGGGGCTGCAAAATATTCTACCAGTCTGCAAGGGCTGTTCCATCTTTCTGAAAGTGTAAATGTGTTCATACTTCAAGTTAAACCTATTTTTTGAAATATTTGATTCTCAAGCCATATCCATGGTAGCCCAAAGCAGAATCTGGGCTCCCCACCCCAGCCACCACCCGAAAACAAACCTTCCAAGTCAGTCTCTTGTACAAAATTACAAATTTAATTAGGCAACAGTAGTAGCATGTAGAGTGTAATACAGCCCCAGGCATCAGTACAAGCAATGGAGTGTGAACTTCCAAAGCAATCCAAACTCTTAATGCTTCTTTGCACATCAGTGAAACTTCCCATGTCAGCACCACAGCACACATCCCTCAAGACCAGAGTAACTTGCAGTCTTCAATATTTCAGAGAAATCACTGAAATTTGTCTCTGAAAATCTACATTAAAGTTAAGATCAGACGTGTGAAATGTCTGGAAACCTAAGAGCATGTTTCTTTGCAGTGGAACAGGAATATCAAAAAATGACCAACATATATGGGAGACAGGCAGATGTCCCAGTTGAAAAAGCAAGAATGTAATATTTTTATAGTTTGTAAAAGTCAGAATATCTTTGCAAAAAAAAAAAAAAAAAAAAAAAAACAAAAAAAAAACTGACTGAAGAAAGATTTGGAGTAGACACCCTTATTTCAAACTCCATGAAAAGAAATTTGAGATAGGCTTTGAATAGAAGTTTGGGCTAGTTTTAAGATAAAATGGTGTAGGTCATGACAAGCCTGAACAAAAACTGCAGGAAATCTCAGCTTTGATTCACGTGTTATAATATAGATGTTTTCATAACGAAAGCTCAGCTCTTTCCCTCTCACTGCAACAGTTCTGGGGCAATTTGAGGACTGAAGCTTGAGACTTGATACTTGATTATTACCATGATAGTATGTGACATTTACAGTGTTTACCACCTTCAGATTGTTTTACAAAAAACGACTAATTCAAGTTTTACACTTTAGAAAATATAAATGGGTACTTCTTTACACAGGTACATCACAGGCAGAAATGTTATGTAACTTACCCATGTCTAGCAGGAGGCAACATTCTAAGTGGGATTACCACTCTGACATTATTGATATTCTTGCTTTCCACTTAAAAGAGTGGAAAGACTGAGTTTTGTGCAACAGTCACCTTCATATATAAAGTGTAGTATAGTGTGGGATTTCTGTTAGGAAGTGACAGGAACAACATTCTCTCTGCAAGCATTTTCTAAATATTGTGGGCCAAATTTCCTGTTGACATAACTCTGCTGACCTGAGAACTTGATGATTCTTCATTGCTTTTAACCACACATTAACAGTCCATGGGATGTCATAATTAAATAAAACATCCATGCAATATATAATTACATACTAATTTGCAGAGATACAAAGTCCTTTGAAGCCAAGGTAATTTAAAATACTTATATTTAGCTAGTGTAAGCAAAGATGAGTAATAAAATAGCAAAACAATAGTTATTTTTCCTTTAAAAATGTGAAATCTGTTCTTACTGAAGACAAGCTAGTATGAAGTCAGTGAAATACTTATGAGCTTCTTTTGCTGGAAGAGCAAAACCAGTTGTTGCTTCTTGATGGATATGGCAAAACCCTGTAGTGCCACAGGTGATCAGACTTATAGAATGTGTTGGAACAGGGAGGGGAGAGGAAGCATGAATTTACTAACTGAAAAGATATATTGCCCATGTGCCACCTTACTAACCTGTGGGGGTCCGAGATGTGAACTCTGGATCAAAATGAAAGGTGTCTTCTGGCCGCCCCACTGCGGGCTTGAAAGGCGGCTTGATTTCTTTTCTGTACAGTTTCTACAAGGAGAAAAACAGATCACTGTCAGCATCAATGTGCACACTCTCAGCATCTGGAGATAGACTCCCCTGCTTTCTTTAGGGTGTCCTCTCTCAGCTCCAGGCTATCCTTGCTGGACTGACAGAAAAGGATGACGTAGCCGTGGTTCTGGCTCTTGCTTTCCTGGTCGGCTTAAAATCTGTGCCCTGGATGGTCCCTGCATATTTTAGCTACTGGAATCCTGAATATAAACACAAATGGTCCTTGAAAACCTTTAGTCCATAGACTGGAACAGTATTCCAGCTGGGGCATCTGGAAATTCACCAGTCCAGGGGCAGGACTGGAATGTGCAATGGTAAGACCAGGAAACAGGGTGACTTCAGTGGTGCAGCAATGGCAATCAGCACAAAGAGCTGCTAGGAAGCCCTGGCTGCTTTAGCATTTATTATTTGTCAAGAACCAGCAATGTGTTTGATGTGCTGCCAGACTGAGCTGAGCAACAGGCTTGGCTTGGCCTGGTCCTTACAACCTAAACGAGAGATTTGTTCTTTTAGCATATCTTGGTAAAAGGGAAGTGGGTTTACAGTTGATGGTTACATGAAATTCCCACCAAAAGATGCTAGGGAGAAAGCACTGTGGATGGGTGGGCAATCACACTGAAGCTCTACATGTGTCTTGAACTGGGGAACAAAACAAAGGAAAACATGAGGAAGGTATGTAACAGGTAAGTACTGCTAGGTGTACGAGTTTCTGCTGGTGACTGAGGGGTCACGTGGGGGATCACTTAAGCAACAGGCACCTTAAATTCATCCCAATACATCCTGCCTTTATTATGAGGGACTTTGGGGCCTTTTAACTCATTCTCAGAGATCTTTACGAAATTGCTACGCCGTGCTCCATGGCAAGCATTCATACACACACAGACATGCACACTTAGGTGAGGATGTCTGGACCTGCTCCAAAGCCTGTAGAGGTTAATGGAAAGAACCCTATTGATTTCAGCCATCTTTGCATCATGTCTGCCTGAAATAGCCATAACTGAACATCATGCTGATGGCAGTGTGGAAAACAGAGCTCCAGTTTGACTCCCTGCTCCATGTTGCAGTACCTAGACTGCATTTCCTTTCTAGCAATGCTTTTGTCCTCAGGTTTCAAAGGGCCGAATTAGTTGCCACAGACAGTTCCCCATAATTAACATGTCTGAGCATAAATATAACATTTAATGCAAACTTTCAAGTCATGATAAGAACTGGAGAGTTCAACTTTATGACTGTTTGCAATATGCACTTTTATGTTAGCTCTTAAAACGACTTCCTAATGAGCTGATTTTTCAAAATGTTTACTGGACATTACTGAATGTTTGTCCAGCTCCTTGAGTGCAGAAAGATTCTTTTTAACTGTGTGTTTTCTGGGGAATTAACTTCTGTAATACAAAGCACATGGTCAAATCTAAGATAGATACACATCCCCATAGTTTGAATTTGATTTTGCATTGATAAATAAAGGTTCTTGAAACAGAACATTCTGTAGCATAGTATTAGCCTTAACATAAAGGATATATTTGTGGCTGAATTATGATTCCTTGGGAAAGTGAAACGGTGAGGCTGGAAATGACTCTGCAATAATTAATGGCCATTTCACCATAAAAAGTTCCTGCTTGCGTAAAACTGCTCCATATCTTTGGAGAGGAAAGCAGATGAATAACTGCTGTGAGCCACCATGGAAAGCCAGTCTTCCAAATAATTAAAAGCCAATTGCAATTTTAAGCAGGAAGTGTCACTCATCAGCTGAACAGTATCAACCTAGTAATTAACATACATCTTTTTCTGTCTGCACAGAACTTTACAAGAGCATTCAGCACCTACTGAAGGTTTTTCTGTTGCTAGGATTTCACCTTGAGAAAGCTATTTACTTCCCAGCTTCCCTTTATTTGTCTTAATTCAGAACTGCAGTGCTTCTGCTGCAGAAAGCAATAGGGTCACATGCACACGCTTTCTCACGGAATTAACAACTGCACAGCTCATCCTGTGAGGTCTAAAAATTGGAAAATGTTTCAGAGCTGTACATCATTTAGGAATTGCACTCTCTTTTCATTATCATTACCATATTCTCTCTGGCCTCTTAATTCCTTCTCCCATCTGTAGTTTCTTAAGTGCTGCTGGAGCTACATTTGTATTTTGAATCCCTAACCCACATCCTCCACTACTAGGGAGGGATTTAAGATTCATCGTGAGTCACACACCACCTAAAGATTTATAATCACAAATTTTTTTTCTGGGAGGGGATGGAAACAAAGAAGTTGCTTGTGCAAGTGAAAGGCACTTCCTTTGAACACAACCCTGATGACTCTCTTTTCCATTTCCTTACTCACTTGTGATAAAAATTAGACGACAGAAGAGCAAAAGGTAAACTGCCTAAAACATTTTTTCCCCCCAAGCTCTTGAATAGAGTAAATAAATGAAATCATTGCGGACCAGGAAAAGCAGATATCATCTATGGACTTCATCCCACACTGGCTCCAGTTCTCTGAGAGAGCTACTACAACCCAAGCCAAATCACTAAACCACAGGGCAGCCCAACACAGTGAAACACAAAGGCCTGCTCCAGGCAGAACGCCTCTTCCTTCAAAAACCTGCATCTTGTAGCCTGCAAAACACAATTCTGGCAAAAGCTGATCTAAGAAAATTGTAAGAATCACAGTGATTGCTTTGTATACACATAGAGAGTGAATCTCTTGGAGGATTTGAGATCCTTCTGGATTTTTCAAGACTATTTCTAATTTTATGAAATGTATTAATTATTATCTTTTACCATGGTCCCCCAATTATTTGGGGATGATGTATCTTGACCATGACCTTTTCTGGCAGAAACCAACCAGAGTGGGAAATGACAGAAAGTTAAATTTCAAATCTTGCCTTTGACCATTTCTATCAGAATGTCCATAACTTCTGGTGAAGTTTAAGCCGTTATGTACATTCTAAGTCATGGTAGTACTGTTTGAAAAAGTAAAAGTGAGTTCCATCATCTGTTTAAATGGGAACAGGGTCTCAGTTTTCCCAGTTTACATTCCAGTTTTGATATTCAAATTTATCTTTGGGACATCTTATTAGGCATTTAAAAGAGACTTTGGATACTATAGTGCTAACTGGAGCATTTAAATTTCAGGCTGGGTACTTAGGATCATTATATGTTTGTTATCTTGCACAGGTGTAAGAAGCTGAGGATTTTTTTTCTTCCATATCATTCCCACATCCATAAATGAGAACTGCACTCCTTAGCCCTAAAAGTTTCAAATGCAGAGCCTCATTATTTCTCTTTCCCAGTAAAGAATAAGCTCCCACATTCCATCACCAGTTTTTTAAACTGGCCACAGCATTGGCTCAGCACAGCAAAATGTGACTGGCAGGTATGAAGAATCACTGCATAACACACAGAGATTCAGAGGGAGTGCATAATCCACAGAACGAGGGAGATGGACTCCAAGGTGTGAAAACACTGATTTAGATATTCATGCCTGGATACATATCCATGCTTCTGACTACTTGTCAACCCCTCACGTCCTCCTGAGACTTTCATAAGTACCTATGAACTAACTAGAAACCACTTCTACAGCTGTTTAAGAATGAGCTTCTATTGACTTTCTTTCTGATTTCAGAAAAAAAAAATTTATTTGAAATAACTAATTTTTTATTTAATCCAGGTGCCACTGACCTTTTCTTAAAATACGTTGCCACATCCCTAGTATGATCTTCATCTGAACACCTCCTCAGGTGGAGGAACTTAAGTAATACACAAGAGAGACTAGTAATGAAATGCTGTCACACTGTGTTTCTTTCTCTTCTTATTAATAAGTAGTTAGTTTTTCATCATCTTTAAAAATTTCACACTCCTAAGAACCCCAGAGATGTAAATACTCTGTACACATGCCTGGCAAATATAAAGAAAAAGGAAATGGTTTAATTTCATTAAAAACTATTTAGTCATTTCCTCAACTGAGTTTCTTTGATGAAGAATTGAATTATTCCTTAGACATCTTCTAGAAATAGAAAGATGCTACCCTCCACAGTGGTGCAGTTGTAGTGTGAGAACAAACTCCTTTGATACATACACCTGTCATGACAAATCCAATAAGCAGAAAAAAGGATGAACTGCACTCTGAAATGCTTGTCCACTCCTAGATTAATGACTCAGTGTTATTGCAGGCAAATGATAGAAAAGCTAGCAGAATTCAGACCCCAGGATTAATTTTGTGCTGTTGGTAAAATCTGCAATTAAAAAATTCACATTTTTTGTTCAGTTTAATCTCTAATTAATATTAAAGGAAAAAGATCTGGAATCCACTTTCTTCCCTTTCCTTTCCTTTCCTCAGCTGTAATTGACAGTTCATTGTCAATCATGTCATTTGCTCCAGTTCCAATGCAGTCTGCCATCCAAACAAAAACTACTGTTTATAGCCCACTCTTCCGACAGCAGTCTGCAAAAAGGGATTTCATTTTTCATTTTCAATGAAAAGCCAGAAATTCATTATGCATGACCTGGAAAGAAGAAACAGTAGTAAAAAAATCAGGAACCAGACTGTGCTTTCTCAGAGCCCATGACTTGAATTATCTGAGGTCAACTCCTTTTGGGTCTGCTGGTCTTAAGAAGAAAAGGAGGTGCAAGGTTAATAAGCAGGTAAAACTGTCAAGGAGCTGGACATTTAATCTCTCTCCTGAGCATCCCAGCCTTGATCATGAAAGACAGTCCATCCACTTAACAACAAATCTATTGAATTTGCTTCATGGTGCCTGCTAAATGCCTCACAGCAGCAAGACTGATATTTCCAGAAACCTCCAGCTATTTTTCACTTTGGGAAGCGGGAATTTAGGGCTTTGTTACAGGATAACAGCTGTAAAAATGTGAGTCTTAGGGAGTGTCATGCCACCATTTAAATCTGGGCATAAAAACTCTGTGTCAATTTGTCCACAGTTTGTTTAGTGCAGAAGTTAGCCAGAAGTTAAACCTAAGGTGGGTGGAGATTTTGCTGAAGGATGGCACCCTGGAATATGGGAATGGCTTCTGGGAAAGGCCAGGAGGAGAAGGGTTCCCTGGCCACATTCATGTTTCCCAGGATTGCCCTTATTGCCTCTGCATGCAGTGGTCACATGCTACTGGCACACTGTGCTCGGCTTGGCAGCAGCACCTGCAGCGTCGTGATGGGACCATTCCTGCACTGTGTAGGCCATTTCCACGGGGTGTTCATCCAAACCAGACATTACATCTGGTTGTGTCTGCTTGAAGACAGTAAGAGATGGGAAATGACTGCCCCAACAGGTAAACATTTCATGGACAGAGAAAATAACCAGCCCCAATCCAAACCCCAAGGGAACAGCTCTGGAAATACTGTGAAATGAAAGCCTGAGTCACAGGGTTCCATCTGCAGTTCCACTACCACTGCCATCAAGACTTCACACGTGGCTTAGAAGGAAGAAGCTAACTAATTTCTGTTTTGAATCTCTCTTTAGAATTAGACAATGCTACTTGGTGCTTTGTTCCTGGTTATCATGTCACTCTTGTAGGAAAAATCATGCTTAAAAGCAAACCTGTTTCACACTGCATTTCTAGCAGACACTAACCCATTCTTAATCTTCATGATAAGAGGTTTTTGATGGAGAATTGTTTTACCACAGTTGCTGAAATTTTCTGTGCTGTCAGTCACAGCAGTCCTGTCTATCATAGCTGCCAAGGTAGCACAGAAGTTCTCCAAAAGAGCTTGCCTCTTGCTCTCTGAGGTCTTTATATGGCCAAAGCATAAAGCAAAGCATCATTTCTGTCCCATCTCTACAGGGCTGTTTGCTGACTGTCTGCAAAGTGATGTGGGATATCTGTATACATTATGGGAGACCAAAATGAGGGCACCAGGGACTCTTTTCCTGCAACTGTACAGAGATCACTGCTAAACATCTGTATCTGATCCATTTCTGTTCTCTGACCCTGTTCTGTTTCTGTCCATGGAGAACACGTTAACTACTGGTGGGGTGATCATTGTGAGTCAAAGTCCTGGCTCCAGCTCAGGGCCGGGCTCACCTGCTTTAAAACACATACAGTACTGTAGCTGCTGGAATGAGATAAGCCTCCCAAGATCTCCTTGAGTGATGGCAAAATTAGGATAAAATGAGGAAATATATTACAAAGATGATAGCTGGTCAGTGTAATAGTGATCTGTCTCTGAGAGAATGCAATAAGCACTAATTATGTTGGATTAAAATGGATTTTTACAGCTATATTTCACGGCAGAGTTAGAGGGCTGGATAACACATCAAAAGGCAATTAAATTCACCTTCCTCTCTAGCTCCAAGGCATGTTCAGGTATACCTATCTTCTTCGTGGTAGATATTTCCCTAACCATAAGAGTTTTTTCAAATGATGGAGGATTGTAGTTTCCTTAGGACAGGCATGAAATTGTTCCCTAGAGAACGGAGCTTGAAACAATCACCAATTATCATGACAGAAGCTGGTCTTGAGTATTCTTATGGGACAGAACTGACTTTTCTGAAAACATTTCCAAAATGCAGAGAGAGGGAGGGAGGGAGGAAGGCAGGAAGGCAGGAAGGAAGGCAGGAAGGAAGGCAGGAAGGAAGGCAGGAAGGCAGGAAGGCAGGAAGGCAGGAAGGCAGGAAGGCAGGAAGGCAGGAAGGCAGGAAGGCAGGAAGGCAGGAAGG